TAGCAAGTTTGGTTGAAATTGCTCAAGGCGTTCCAGAGTTATGCTGGAATATATATATATACACACACAGCCATTTTTGTATATAGAGATAATAGGAAGGAATAGTTTTAGAATACTTTTGAACATTACTTTTTAATGTCTCTCTTTTCAGTATGAGGCTGTGCCCTTCTGTTCTTGATTTTTGCTTAATATTGAAAATGAATTTCAATAATGTAGAGGACAAGGTATGCATCTTTGCGTTTTGTTCCCTTTGTATTTTTCTTTTTCTGTCATTACTTTAAAAGCAATCACATTTATAAAAAAAAGTAAAAGAAGAAAATATATTAGTTCTTCCCCTCAATCATCTTATGGAAAATAAGAAAAGAGAACATTTTCTTCTTCCTCTTTCAAATATCATTGGAGGGGGGGGTAATCACATACACAATCTGATCCTCTAAAAAAAAACACCAGATGTAGTCACTTTTGTGATCCCTTCATTTGGAAGGACCTATGGAAAACTTAATTTTTGTATTTCTTTTTCCTGCTCCTTATATAAATAATGTGCACCTTTTCCTGGCAGCCCCTCAGCACTAGAATTTTTGAAATCCATCATATTTGGCAGCGCATGGAAGGCAGATAGTGCTCTAAAGTCCAGACATAAATTAATTGGAAGTAGGGAGGTAAATACTAAGAAACCAGCTTGTAGTATGATTTGAATCATCAAAAAAGTGGTTCATTACACCTTCCAAATCACTAGTTCCCAAACTTTTTTTGGCCATGCTCCACCTAAGAATCTTTAAAAACCTGATGCCCCCTTCACCCCCATGACATATAATTCTTATTTTACTTAAAAAGTGAACTCTACTCATGCAGAGGAAGCCTAAAAGGCCATTAACCTGGTTTAAACAAGGTTCAAATTGTGGGGTGCACATTGGGAACCACTGATTAAATAGTCCAGCAAGTTCAACATGCAATGTGGAAAGACACAGAGCTGATATGACAGCTACTACCAGAAACATTTACCAATAATGACTTGTTTGCGGGCAAAGACAGAGCCAGCTTTGAGACACCTGAAGGCGTGAAGCAAAAATAAAACTGGATAATATGTGTGTGAGACAAGTGCACAAATCTTGCTCTACCAGCTAGCCAGGTCCATTCTAGACAGGTTAGCATAAAAAAAAAAGTCAGAACATTGCAGGGGTGTTTGTAGGGCAAAAAAACTCAACTAGGTAGCCTCAACAGGGGTAATCAATGTTATACCTGTTTTGTATGTTCACATAAAATTGTTGTTCACATTTTGTATATGAACAATTAATATTATTACAAGTGTTAGTACAACTGTTATTATGCTATTATAGAGATTAAAATCGATAGACAATGGAGAATGGAGAACTACAAAGGCTATGAATGCCGATACAGAAGGCTGTATAACTATTTTATAGTGTTATGTTTGTTCTTGTTTTTATTCTTTTTTGTTGTTTTTTCCTCTGTTTTTAAAGGTAAAAATGTTTAATAAAAACTATTTTAAAAAAACAAAACAAAACGTTTTGTATGTTTTATATGTTCACATAAAAAAACAGATTTTCAATCATACCACTACAATTCCCACCTTAACATTTTTTTGACCCTACCTTGTGGATACTCTGGTGTTAAATCTTTGGCTTTCTTTCACAGCCCCACCCCCAAATGATCTATTCTCAAGGCACAAAACTTTCTACCACCCACAGTTTGGATATGCTTTTCTCTCCCTTCAATAACATCTGCCCACAAAAGTGTTTTCATAGGACTTTATTTGAAAGGTAGATTCCAGTAAAAATCCATGCATTTGTTTGTTGCTATTATGACAGACAGACAAGTGTTTTCATTGTTAATGTTTCTTCTGATTTTCCCTTCAGCTATAAGTTTCTCTGTGTAGCACACTCACTGGATTTTTGCCAGTGTTCCTGTTCTTGTATTCCGAACACTTCTTAAAAAAAATACGAAACCCACTTTATACAGAAAAACTTGGAACAGATGATACTTTCCCACCGAATAGTGTCCCCTTTCTCTTTCCACATTTTAAATGTCCTTCTTTCTGAAGAGTTTTTTGTTTTAAATGATATCATTGTCACAAAAAGAATGGAAAAAAAATCTCACCCTTCTCTACATTTTCTAAGACCTGCTCCGAACAAAGAATAATACATTTTCATTAAAACATATGAGGAAAAAAAATACTTCTTCTCCAAAGCCTAGAAGAAACAGTAAACAGTTTCTAACTGTTTTTCAGATTCCCATAATATTAGCTACTGAAAAAACAAAGCATGTCCCTAATGAACATCTTGGCAAACTGTATTTCTATTACCCAAACAATAAATTGTTCAAAGGTTTTAGTTACTCTTCATGACAAGTGATTGATAATATGTCATCACGTTATTTTTTTATTCCAAGCAACCACACAGATAGCTTTTCTCCATGACAATTTAACAGCATAATAGAATAACAGAGTTGGAAGGGATCTTGGAGGTCTTCTAGGCCAGCCCCCTGCTCAAGCAGGAAGCCCTATCCCATTTCAGACAAATGGTTGTCCAATCTCTTTTTAGAATCCTCCAGTGTTGGAGCACCCACAACTTCTGGAGGCAAATTGTTCTATTGATTAATTGTTCTAACTTGTCTAATTTATCTCTAACCTGGTTCTTCAAATCAGTGTGTCATGATGAGTAGCTGAGTTAAATCACTTTCTCTTCTGGCTTGAAATTCTGCATGAGTGACCCCCAGAGTGGCAATCTTAAACTTTCTTACTAGGAAACAGACCCCATTAGATATAGGGCTAATATAGTAAAGACAAATAGGACTTTTCTATTAATTCTGTAACCTGTGAATTCCAAAGCAAAATTCGGTGGCCAGAATGATACTAATTCACTGAACAACCAGACAGTAAGGTTGCTTAGTCAGAATTCTACTGCTTCTAATTAATACTTACTAACTAAGCAAGATTGCAACAGCCTTCGTGGGCTGCCTGTGTAGTTTCCGCTGATTTGAATATTTGTTTAACATATTGCAGAATGTGGATCATTTGGTCTATAGTACTTCTCATTCATGGAAGAAGAAGTAAGATTCTGGTGATCCATCTTTTAATTTACATTTTCCAATCCATTTCCATATATATTAGATTACAGTTCTCCATTTTATTAATATCTATTTACCGAAACCTTCCCTGAGTCCGTGTTTTAGGGTCACTATAAAAAATAAAAATAAAATAAAAATAAAATAGTACCTATCTGGCACCTGACTGCCATAGGCTTTAATAATCTTGGCATAAACCAGCAACTTTCAGCTTTTGTTTTGTAGTCAGGATGTAGCCAAAATAAACTTTGGGTGAGAATGTCACTAAGTGGAAGATGGGGTAGTGGTATATAAATTATACACTAGAGCAGTGCTTTTCAATCTTGGCAATTTTAAGTTCCACAGACTTCAATTCCCAGAATTCTCCAATCAGTAGGTTTGGCTGGGGAATTCTGGGAGTTGAAGTCTATGTATTTTAAAGTTGCCAAGGTTGAAAAACACTGCATTGGTCCTTATGGGAGCTCTGGGTGGTGCAATTGTATAACAAGGAGATGCAAGGTTGGCAGTGAGGATTTCCAGATTCAGGGAAAGCATCCACCAGTGAAGGAAATATGAGGGTAAGGAAGATCCTGTGTTTCACTACTGACCAAAAGTTTAATTAACCAAGTCCTATGAAACATCACAAGAATTTCAATAGTCTCTTCATAAATATCTCTAGGCGTATATTTGTGTCTGTGCACTTATAAATTTATCATATATGTAAAAAGTCTTCCTAGGAAGCTGATTCTGGGGTAGGTAGGATTGGGCAGAGATATAAACCATCTCTGTTTCTTTGTTTTAAAGTTCTTCCAGATATAGAAAAGAAGATAATAACGCTGGGAAAAAAATCTGTCAGCCGTTCTACTGCAGCAGCCTTCTCCAACCAGCTTTCTTCCAGATGTGATGAATCATCAGATCTCCCATGATGTCGTCTGACAACCAGGGAACTACCGTGGATCATGTCTGGGGAAGGCTGCTCTGTGGGGTGGACAAGACAAACCACAGGACTAATAATTGGCAGAATGTCACTTCAATATGGACAAGGGACAATTTTATAATACAGCAAGGATTCCCTCTTCTCCAGAGGCAGCTTCATCTCAGGAAAAGCTATGGCTCGGTCTTAAGAGTTGGGCCAAAGTCAAGGATAAAAAGGAAGGAAATATGGCAAAACTAGTGGATTCGAAATACTTCTGACAACCACTAGGGGGCAGTAGGTCCATTTAGATTTTCAAACCCACCCACCTTTTTTTTTTTGTACTGTTCTCCAGCACTGTTTGGCACAAACTTTTGTCAGCCCTTAATTAAACTGCAGTGGAAGAGAGGGTTTCCTTTTCCCTCTGGAGGAAACAACAAATCTCTTGATCCACACTGCAGCCCCAAATTTGGCACACTATGCTGTGGAAGCCATTTGTAGGAGGCTTAGGAGTGGGGGCTGGGCCTTCGTCTATACTTATCCCTTAGCAGGCTGTAGGAGAGGTCTTCACTTAGTGTGTGAGAAGAATTACCTTTCTTCCCACGACTACAGAGCAAATAATCACAGCATTGCTTTTGGGTAGTCCAGGGTCAATTCTGGTTCTCCCCAGTGTGCCCGCTTGAAAGGACTGTGGTGTTTTGAGTAATTTCTTTTGATCTGGGTAATAAGAATATGTGCACCCCTTTCCTGAAAGCCCCTTGGTGAGCACAGCCCAACTCCTTCACCTCTGTTCCACTAAAATTGTGGTTTTGGATCCTGTGGTTGGGTGAATCAGAGGAAGTGGTTGGTTGAATGGATTGAGAGGGGAAGGAGAGGGAGAGGAGGGGGAAGGAGAGGAAGAACGGGAGGGGGGAGGAAAGGGAGGGGAGAGAATGAGAAGAGGGGATAAAGGAGGGGAGGAGAGAGAGGGGGTGGAAAGGAAAGACAGACGGGAACAGGGAGAAGAATGGAAAAGAGAGGAAGGAGGGGAGGGGGAGAGGATGAAGGAGCAAAGCAAAGCAAAGCAAGCAAGAAAAATGCTCACTGGATGGATGGATTTCTCGCTTCTCAACATTCTGACTTGCCTGATGTCCTCTGAACAGTATTTTTTTTTCTTCCCCTTTTCTCCTTCCCATGCCCTCTCCTCTCTTAGGTCCATCCCTACACTGGCGTGGTCTTCCTGTTGAGTGTGTTGGTGTTGGAGGAGGCATCCTTACCCAGGGTACCAGTGGCTCCTGCTACCCCAGGCCCAGTCACCGTGACTGTCACTCCAGGATCTTTGGGGAAGGTGTTGTGCAACTGTAAGAATCCTCCGCCAGTCCCGGAGGTCACCCCGGAGGTCGTTGCCCCTGTGGAGGCGGTCTCACTGGCACCGCCATAGAGGGAACTGACGTTGGCCTTGGACGGGTCCCTAGACAGTGTGTACATAGAGATGTCGGTGGAAGGGAAGCCCTTCAGGCCAACGGGGGAGGTTTCTCGAGACTGGGAGGGCTCAGTGGAGCGGGAGCTGGAACGTGACCGGCGACGGTATCGGAAACGGTAACTGGGCAGGCGTAAGATGGCTGAGGAGGAGGAAGAAGGGTTCTTCAAGAGTTCTGTGCGGCTTTTGCAATGGGCTTCGCGGTTCTTCTCAATGTATATGTTAACCGCCAGAACGCCAATCATCTCAGCCAGGATGAAAGAAAGGCCACCAAAATAGAAGGACCAGCCGTAAGAATAGTGGCTCTTCTTTTCATCGTCACGTTTTGTGCCGGGATCACCAGCATTGGCTGAGATGTAGACGATGACGCCGATGATGTTACTGAGGCCTGTATGTGAGAGAGAGAGGCAGAGACAGACACAGAGAGAGAGAGACTGAGAGCATCAGGGTTCCAAGTAACACCCCCAATGAAAACTCTGAGGCCTGAAATTCCTCAAAGTTCCATTTTATTAGAGATGTCATATTGGCACATCTGGGAAAACCCAAATCTGAAAGTTTCCAGATTTTCTCCACCCAAAAGAAAGTTCAATTCCCTGCCCAGCACCACATGTCCATCACAGGATCCAATCAGGCACCCTCTAAAACTGGAAATGCCTCCCAGTCACCTCACCGCAGCTGCAGGGCAAAACAGCCTTGATTTTCAGAGAAAGAATGTTGTTATGGCTACAAATCACCCATGCTCTGTATAATCCCCCCTCCCAGTTTCCCACAATAGAAAATGTGGCAGATCAGAAGTCCCAAAGTTAAAAGACAGCTTCCAGGCCTGACAGGGAGAGGTTGACGATGGACTGATTAAAAAAAAGAGAGCGAGAAAGAGGAAGAACCCTAAACAGGTAGTCTTTGACCTGCAAACATTTGTTTAGCAACCATTTGAGGTTACAACGGCATTTTAAAAAAAAGACTTGCAACCAGTCTTTGCATTTACAACTATAGGTAGTCCTTGACTCACACCAATTCATTTAATGACCATTTGAACTTACACTGGAACTGAAAAAAAGTGAGCTATGATAGTAGATTTTAGGAGGAGCCCCCCCCCCCATTCTACTACTTCTTACAATACTAGACATTTATCAATTATTAATAGTAGATACTTCAGGTTTCTAGACCAGTGTTGGCCAACCTTTTCATCACCGAGTGCCAAAACCAGAAGAGCAGATGCTATTCTGGGTTCCGGCACACACATGCATGCCGGCCAGCTGGTCTTTGTTTGTGTGGGAGTGCCGGAAACTGGAAGATCAGCTGCCCCGTGTGCATGCGCGTGCTGGCCAGCTCCTCTTTCAGGTTCCAGTATGTGCATGTGCGCCTGCCAGCTGGTCTTTGCGTGCGCATGTGTGCACCAGAACCCAGAAGAGCAGCTATCAACGGTGTGCATGCCCAGAGATAGGACTCTGTGTGCCACCTCTGGCACGCTTGCCATAGATTCACCATCACAGTTCTAGGTTCTATCATATCTCAAGACTTAAAATGGACACCTAACATAAAAAAGTCATTAAAAAAAGCACAACAAAGAATGTTCTTCCTGCGCCAACTCAGAAAATTCAGACTGCCCAAGGAGCTGCTGATTCAGTTCTACAGAGGAATTATTGTCTCTGTCATCTGCACCTCTACAACTGTCTGGTTTGGCTCTGCAACCCAACAAGACAGACAGATTTCAATGGACAATTAGGACTGCAGAAAAAATAGCAGTTGCTACCAGCCTGCCTTCTGTTGAAGACCTGTATACTGCACGAGCCAAAAAAGAGGGCTGTGAAAATATCTACAGACTCCTCACATACTGGACATAAACTGTTTCAACTTCTCCCCTCAAGACAATGCTATAGGGCATTGCATGCCAAAACAAGTAGACATAAGGACAGTTTTTTTCCTCCAGCCACCACTCTGCTAAACAACTGGTTCTCACAACACTGTCAAACTACTTAGTAGAGCTGTATTACTATTCTTCTCATTTTTCCTATGTCCTTATCTTTTTATATAAATTCGTTGCTTGTATCTTACGACTTACATTGTTTTATTTAGTGAAGCCAGATTCACTTAACACCCATGTTACTAACTTAACAACTGCACTGCTACACTTAACAACTGTGGCATGACAGGTTGTAAAATGGGGCAAAACTCACTTAAGAAATGTTTCACTTGCCAACAGAAATTTTGGGCTCAACTGTGGTTGTAAGTCAAGGACTCCCTGTATTACAGCATCTCCACAGTCACGTAATCGAAATTCAGGGATGTACTTGGCATCTGGGATGTACTTACGACAGTTGACGTGTGTTGCAGAGTTGTGGGATTGCCGTTTGCGACCTTCCCAGTTGACCTCCAATAAGCAAAGCCAATGGGGGAAGCCAGATTCGATTAACAATCACATGATTCATTTAACAACTGCAGTGATCTACTTACCAACTATGGCAAAAACAGGTCATAGCATTGGGTGCAGCTCATTTAAGAACTGCCTTGGTTAGCAATGGAAATTCTAATCCTAATTGTGGTCAAAAGATTCAATGGCAGGACAATAGCTGCATTGCTTCAGATTACAGCATCTCCGGCAATTGTTGATTTTATTTCATTTGTATTGGCAGCTGAGAACCATCTCTTTAAGAGATAGGACAAGAACTTCTAAACTCTTTCTTCTCTCTCTTCGGTGGGAGGGAACTGGTTTTTATTTTTTGTTTTAAAGTAAAAATAGCTTTGCTAAGCCTTTTGGGAGTATAATACATTGATTTTACCTTTTTTTTTCTTAACAGCTGAAGAGCGCACTGGTATAATTGGTACTTTCCCACTAATTTGGGTAGTGCAATCCGAGAAGTTTAGAAAGCTACAAAAAATATGATCCATGGCAGGGGTGGGTTTCAGCCAGCATTACTGCTGGTTTGTTCGTACACCTGCATGTGTGCGCATGTGCAGTTCAATGGAAATTGTTCTGCGCATGCATAGAACTTAAAAAAAAAAAAGATGGTGGTGGCGGCTGGGAAACCGGTTCGGAGGCGTGGGCAGTCTGGGTAGCTGCGGGTTCTGAGAGCCAGGTTGGCACACCACTACCAGTTTGGCCAAACTGGGCCGAACCAGTAGGAATCCACCTCTAAACCATGGGTCACAGCTTGCACACCCTACCCTAGATGACAGGGAAAAACCACATTTCCCCCCCCTCCCTCTCCCTCTCTCACACACATAGTGAGATCTAGGCCTCTATTCAGAAAGAAATACTGATGGAAGATAATATTTGTAGCTCAGGATTGGACTGCGTGGTCTTTGATACATTCTGAGCTTGGTTGCTTTCTTGCAGACAGTTCATTACCCAACTAGGTAACGTCATCAGTGCTAGAAAGGTGTGGGGTTTGCATGATTGATGATGTTACCTAGCTGGGGAACAAAACATCTGCAAAAAAAAAGAAGCTCCAAGCTCAAAATGCACCAAGGGCCCCTCACAAACTACTTTTCTTCAAGGCCTCTGATTCTGAAGCATCAGCGGTTTCTATTGGTATTTGGTACTTCTTGACTTTAGATCCTGGCTTCCCTTGGGTCCTGCCAGGATGCAGATTTTGATTATAGGGCTGTTTGAGTGGAAAGATAGAAAATTCATTACCGTTTGGATGTATACAATGGGAGGAGTAGGAAAATGAAAGGGCCTGGAGGTCATTTAAAATCCTTACCTTATTTTCAGGGCTGGAAAAGGAAGAAATAGATAAATAGACGTACATAAGAGGGATGAACGGTAAATAAATAAAGAGCAGGAAGATGGAGAAAACTTGAGATGTCTATGTGCATGAAATAATGCGACACATGGGCCTACCCCCTTCATATGGTAAAGCCACCGGGCTCTATAGTGCATTTATATTGTAACATTTGTACTTCTGGCTAAAGTTAGGCCTGCTAATAAGACATTCTAGAGATGTTGCAAAACCAGGACATACAATTCGAAACCCTTCCATATCGAGCAGAAAAGGAATCTATGACAAACAGGAATATTCCAATTGTGCTTTTTTCCTTCGTTTTTTCCTTGGAGACGTTTCGCTTCTCGTCCAAGAAGCTTCTTCAGTTCTGAAGAAGCTTCTTGGGTGAGAAGCAAAAAATCTTCAAGGAAAAACCAGAAAGTCCAGTTGCCTTTTGAAAAAAAACCTTTGGGATAACCATGACCCGGATGACTGAGAATCTCCATAGACACATAGGAAAGCATATCAAATCAAAATGGCTTCCCCCTCCCCCCCCCACTCCAGACCCAAGCCTGCAATCAAGAATTGCCAATTACATTTCTGGTTTTCTGTGGTCAGAACACAACCAGGAAGGAAAAGTGGTGATAGTTGTGAAGCTGAAGAAGGATGCATGAAGTTGTACAAAGCGAGTCATGGCTCAGGAGAGGTGGATTACAAGGATGAAGCATTTGAGTTCAAGAGACAAGAGTCCTGATGAACAAACTCTCTATGCCATTAATCTCTCTAGAGATCCAGAGAAGGACAGTTTGCATCTACTCACTGTACAGGCAGTCCTCGACTTACGACCATTCAGTCAGTGATGATAGTGTTGAAAAAAATGGCTTGGAACTGGTCCTTGCACTTAAGGACTATTGCGATGTCCCAAAGGTGACATGATTGCTATTTGGTTGCTTGGCAAAAAACAACAACATGTATTTATGATGTTTGCATTTTTCCCATTTGATCGCCATTTGCAACCTTCCCAGCTGGCTTCCAACAAGCAAAGACAATGGGGGAAGCCAGATTCACTCAACAATTGCAGTGAAAAGGGTGGTAAAATTGGGCACAATCACACGAGGACTCACTTAATGACCACATCACTTAGTGACTAAGGTTGTGATCCCGATTGTGGTCGTAGGTCCGGTAAGAACTACCTGTATTATCCCCACTGTAGAACTTACCTGCAGCAACAAACAGAATGCCAGCACCTAGAATAATGTTGCGCTTCGACTTGTAGACACGGCTGGCAGCTACGCAGAACCCACCCAGCAACAGCAAAAGAGCACTTAGGATAGGAAAGATGCTTGAGGCTCGTACCACTCCTATGGAGGGAGCGGGGGAAGGGAGGGAGGAAGGGAGGAAGGAAGGAAGGAAAAGAAGAATATAAAATGACATGCCATAGCAATTTTTTTACGCATGGGAAATTGGCAACCTGGAGACAATTTTGATCTAGTCTTATTCATGTTATTAGATGATATTCTGTGCATTTTCTCAAGTAAGTTTATTTTTGTTATCAATGCCTACAAATGCTAAAGCAGAGGTGGCCCTTTATGACTTATGGACTTCCAACTCCTAGAATTCCTGAGCTAGCAGGGTTGGATCAGGAATTCAGGCGGTTGAAGTCCACAACTAATAAAAGGGCCCCACTCCTACACTAAAGCATGGAGCCCTTTGGAGCAGTCCTCATGAACTACACCAGGGGTGTCAAACTCAAAGCCCAGGGGATGGATCTGGGCTATGGGATGCTTAGATCTGGCCCATGGAGCCACCCTAGAAACAGCAAAGGATCGACATGCAGTGCTTCTTCCAGCAAAAATGAAGCTCTGGAGGGCTGCATGCAGCCATCCCAAGCTCTGCTTTTGCTGGCAGAGGGTTACAGGAGGCCATCGCAGACGAAAACAGATCCCGTGAGGGCCGCGGGTGGCACTCCCAAGCTCCCGCAGGTTTGCAAGAGGCTATTGCAGCCAGAAATCGCGCTCAGGAGCCCGTTTTTGCTGGCGAAGCGCTTGGGCCTTTTCAGGTGCTCTTGAGAAGAGTGACATTGAGCTGGCCACACCCACCCTGGTCCTTCAAGGTCAAACACAATCCTGATGTGGCCCTCAATGAACTCCAGTTCATTATATCAATCAATACACTATAAAATGTGTCTTACATGGTATGTTACACCAAATATTCCTGAGCTAACTATGGTCTCCATAAAGCTTGTTTCATTTACAGGGCAGGCCCCAAGCACACATGGCATAGTTACGGAGTCTCTGTGAAAAGATGACAAAAATCCAGGGACATCCTGATTTGTATTCTAAATCTCCAAATGCCTTTTTTAAAAGATTGGATGTTCATAATATTGTACAGTAATCACTGGATGTTACAAACAATCTTTATTCCTTCTTGTGCCAGACAAGAATGAATAGTAAGGACCTTATAACTGAATGTTAATGGGAAACCAATTCTTCAAAGTTGACTTGAAACTCTCTTTTTTGTACTGTATTTCATGGGTTGGTAAAGATATTCAGATAGTCAGATGATGAGGTGGAAACTGTCTGCTCACTTGTTTTTGATATGGAAAATGTTATTTCACCCTGGATTCATAACCAGTGGTTACTCTGTTAGGATCAGTAGTGGGTTCCTACTGGTTCGGACCTCTTTGGCTGAACCGGTAGTGGTTTGGCGGCCTGGGTCACTGGAACCGGAGCAGCCGAGGCCTGCCACAGCCCCAGACTGGTTCTCTGGGCAACGCCATAGGTGCCACCATTTTGTTTTTCACTTCTGCACATACGCAGAACAATATTGCACTGTGCATGCATATACAGTGCCCATCAAACACACACACATACACACCCAGCGTCCCCACGAGCGAACCAGCAGTAGTGCCTGCCGGAACCTACCCCTGGTTAAGATTACTCTAAATCTGGATAGTTGTGACTTCTGGGATGCGGTTTTGAGTTTTATCACAGGGCAAAAAGGTCTCCATTCAGGTTAATGCATTTTGCCTTTTGTATGATTAATGTAGTTTTATACAATTGTAACGCTTAATGAAACATTCGTTTTTTTAAATAATTAACATGCAAGTAAGCGAGCTGGCTTGCTGTTTGTGAATTTCCAGTCATTTACAGACCAACTGGGGATCCTTCCCCAACCTGTTCTTCACATGTGCTGGATTATTTATTCATGATAGCTGGAGATGATAAGAATTTTAGTCCATTTAATAAGTTTGGATCCCTGATAAGAGAAAGGGGGGCAGCATTGGCTGGTCCTGCAGTTTTCTTGGCAAGGTTTTTCAGGAGTGGTTGGCCATTGCTTCCTTCCTAGAGTTAGAGGGACTGCCTCAAGGTGACTCAGCTGGTTTTGTGCCTCAGGTGTGACTAGAACTCCCAGGTCCCCGTCCCCAACTGGGTGCCTTTAATCACTACACCAACTATCCCTTTTTCCTAATTTTGGCCCACAATAACCATACAAAACAGCTCCATTTGCCAGCTGCATTACTGTGGCAGAACAGGAATTGGCAACAGAGGCTGTCCAGCTTATGCTAGTAAATGTTCTTGCCAGCAACAGGAGTGATGGAGATTGTTTAAATTTGCCAAGTGAGAAAAAACCCTCAGGGTTACATCCCCAGCCTTTTATATCCAAAAGAATCCTGCAAACTGAATTGTTGAGATCGTTACTAAATGAAATTCTCAAAACATGACAGAACAAAACTTAAACCTGTAGATAGTGTTAATGGAATCAAACATGCTAATTCCTTAGATTCAGAAAAAGCTGAGCCAAATCCGTAAATACTCTTACTTCTCTGATTCAAGACCACTGTCTGCATTTTAGAACTAACTGGACAACCCACTGGGTTATTTTTTCAGAGATATTTCCTTAAACTGAGAAACAGAATGACCACAGACAGGCAAAAAAAAATGGGAGCAGGAATGACTTCTGACTTCCTGCTGTCTTCCCCATTGATCTTCCTTATGGGCAGCTGGCAATGAGTATTTGGAAATGATGATCACACAGCTGTGGCTAACTCCGTCCACACTGCAGTAGTCACAATTTTGTGAAAACAATTAGTGTGAAGATCCTTGAAATTTCAATTACATAGGAGTAATGAGTCCCAGATTTTGTATGCATTCTTTAAGTTGGTGGACTTGAGGTACCCGATTCAAATATTTTTGCACTATGATGTACCATTTGGGCTAACTGAAGGTTACAAGCAGACAAAGAGACAGGAAAGGATTAGTAGAATATAGATAACACCATTTTTATGGGATTTTTCAAAGGATCCTAGGATTATAATAATGACATACATAATAGTTTTTAAACACTTTAGAATAATAGGGGGAAAGCACACACAGTATTAAATCAGCAGATTTTACTGTAGAGAGTCAGATTGGTTTGGCAATTAAGACAGATGGAAAATACTGAGATGGGGGAGGTTATTCTTTATAGCTGTAGAAGGTTATGGAGATAGCCTTGAATAACAGTATGCAGCAAGTGTTAGGAAAGTACAGGTAGTCCTTGACTTACAACAGTTCATTTAGTGACCATTCAAAGTTAAAATGGCACTGAAAAAAATGACTTATGATCTTTTTTTCACCCTTATGACCATTGCAGCATTCCCATGGTCAGGTGATGTGATCACTCTTTGCCACCTTCTGACGTGCAAAGTAAAGGGAGAATCCAGATTCACAACAATTGTGTTACTAACTTAATAACTGCTATGATTCACTTAACAACTGTGGGAAGAAAAGTTGTAAAATGGAGAAAATCTCACTTAACAAATGTCTTACTTAGAAACTGAAATTTTGGGGCTCAGTTGTGGTTATATGTCAAGGACTACCTGTGTGAATTTTGCCAGTAAGAACTGGAAAGCATGAAGAAAAAACTCAGCATTCTACACCTTGATTCTCTTTAGTATGGAAAGGAAAAATGCAGATTGGGTCTCTTGTGTGTACTATTAGTCTATGGGTGATGGGCTAGTGATGGCCTTGTTTCCCTTCTATCTCCTTGCCACCACAAGAATAAACTGACCAGGGAAGTGATGCTAGTGTCCAGGAGCAGAATATGAACTATTGTTTCCTTCTTCAAGTGATGCTCTAAGCCCGTGATGGCGAACCTATGGCATGTTTGCCACAGGTGGCCCACAGAGCCCTCTCTGCGGAAATGCGAGCCGTCACCCAGTTCAGATCCACCGTGCATGACGCACACCTCCCGCCAGCCAGTTAATTTTCAGGTCTCTGCCGCGCAGCAAGAGAGGCACATGCATGCACAGCTACATGGGGGGTAGCATGGGGGGCAGCACTCCCTCCTCCATGTCCCGTCTTTGGTCCCAGGAGGTCTCAGGGAGGCCTGCTAAGCCCAAAATGGACCGCAGGGAGGGTGCATCCTCCCCTCCCATGCCCCATTTTTGGTCCCAGGAGGCTTCAGGGAGGCCTGCTAAGCCCAAAATGGACCGCAGGGAGGGTGCATCCTCCCCTCCCATGCCCCATTTTTGGTCCCAGGAGGCTTCAGGGAGACCTGCTAGACCCAAAATGAACTGCAGTGGAGGGGGTCACACTCATATGTGCAGTGGGGGGAGGCCATGCGGGGGTGGTTGTGCGCGCATTGCATTATGGGTGTGGGCTCTTCCGGCACACAAGGACAAAAGGTTAGCCATCACTGCTCTAAGCTCTGAACCCAAGGCTTTTGAATTGTTTTGTGATTTCTTCATAGTCTAAGCCTGTGATGGAGAACCTATGGCATGTGTGCCACAGGTGGCACCTGGAGTCATTTCTGAGGGCATGCGAGGTGTTGCCATGTCAGCTCCAACACACACGGACACCCTGGCCAGCTGATTTTCGGCCTTGATTTCCAGCCGATTTTCACCCTCCGGAGGCTTCCCTGAACGGACTTTGTTCCCGAACTTCCGGTTTGCATATTGGGCTGTTTTTTGCTCCTAGAAAGCCTCTGGAGCCTGGGGAGGGTGAAACATGAATCTACCGGGCCCACTGGAAGTTGGAAAATGAGCCGTTTACAGCCTCCAGAGTTCCTCCGGGGGGGGCGTTTTCATCCTCCCCAGGCTCTAAGAAAGCCATGCGGGTGGGCCCACAAACTTTTGGCACCTGAGGTGAAAAAGGTTCGCCATCACTGGCCTAAGGCATTAGTTGGATTTCTTTTTTGGGCTTTTTTTTTTGGATTGGTGCTGATTCTGGCAACTACTTGGACTAGTTTCTGCTGTTTTCATGGCAAGATTTTGGAAGTGATTTGCCATTGCCTTCTTCCTAATTTGAGAAGAAATGGTTGGCCCAAGGCCAGCTAGATAGCTTTGTGCCTAAAGACAGAATTAGAACTCCCAGTCTCCTTGGTGCCTTAACCAAAACATCAAACTGGCTCCTCCATTAGATAGGTTTATGTCTACTTCAGGTGCTGTTTGACCCACAGGCAGGGGATAGAGATCGCTCAAGCCCTGTGCTTGACCAAGAAGCAAATCAAAATTTGACTTCAGAACTGTTGCATGAAATAGAGGAAGGGACATAATGAAGACGCCATTGGAGGCTCCACCTCCACAACACTCTTATTTCAATTGTAGGTTAATTTTATGCATTCATTCCTGAATCTAGAGAATCTTGTTTCATGATGAATCTTAAAAAAAAAAAAAAAGGAACATTCACATCGATTCGATGTGCAAATTTGTACTACAAAAGTTGAAATATGGCTGTGGTTTGATTTGTCTATTAATGTATGGGAAAGAAGAATTAACAGGTTCACAGAGTTAGAAGGGACCTTGTAGGTCATTTAGTCCAACCCCCACCCACCCAAGCAGGAGACCCTACACCATTTCTGACAGATGGCAGTCCAGTCTCTTTTTGAAAGCTTCCAGTGATGAAACTCCCTCAACTTTTGAAGGCAAGCTGTTCGATTGGTTTATGTTATGTTACATTATAATTATGTTGGCTTTCATGAAAATGAGCTGAATATTTTCCAACAACATATAGGAATTTTGTGCATGACATTCTCTGTGTAATTGTGCTGAAATACAAGCAATAACGGCAATTATTAATTATCCCCAATTTTTGGTGTCTCCCACAGTGATCAAAGTATTGCCTCTGCAAAACAATGTGTGGGTGGATATATTTAGTTGTATTGGATCCATTGATTGATCCATTGTTTGATCCACTGATTGATCAATTGATACATCCATGCATCCATGCATCCATCCATCCATCCATCCATCCATCCATCCATCCATCCATCCATGCAATTTAGAGCAGTGTTTCTCCACCTTAAGAACTTTCGGATGAATGAACTTCAACTCCTGGAATTCCCCAGCTAGCATTCCGATGCTGACTGGAGAATTCTGGAAGTTGAAGTCCACACATTTTTAAATTCCCAAGGTTGAGAAACACTGCTCTAAATTGATTGGATGGACGGATAAATGGATGGATGGGTGAGATTATATATGCTGATTTAGAAACTACCAAACTCTAGAAGTCTCTGGCTCTATTACAATGTTAAAGCAGGAGAAAACCAAGAAGATGCACAGCACAAAGACAAAAACTGAACTGGATAACATCCCATAGCGGCTGAGTCCCTACCCTTCATACATCCTTGGGAAACAGCCTGGTTTTCAACATTTTGAGCGTCTTCAGGATTGGAACTGTATGGAGGATAATGTTACAGCACCACAACAAGAAGCCACCTAATTGGATGGGGTTATATTCCCTTTGGACTTTAGTAAAAAAAAATTCTGTCTGAAGCAGATTTCTCAACAGTGTCCTTATTAAGAGAAAATGGTCTCCCATCCATTACTGGTAGTCCTTGACTTAAAGCCATTCATTCAGCGACCATTTCAAGTTACAACAACATTGAAGTGACTTAACAATTTGTCCTCAAACTTAAGCACTGTCCCCGCATCCCTATGGTCACGTAATCAAAATTAGGGTGATTGACAACCAGCAAGGAGCTTTCCAGGACTCCTGTAATCTTGTGGTCTTCCAAGGTGGCTTCTGACAAAGCCAATGGGTGAAACCAGATTCGCTTAGTGACCGTATGATTCCCTTAAGAATTGCAGTGATTCACTTAACAACCATGGCACAAAAGGTCGTAAAATTGAGCATGGCCCACTTAAATCTGTCTTGCTTATCAATATAAATTCTGGTCCCAATTGTGGTTGTAAAATGAGGATTATATGTAGTTACCTGAAAACTTGACATGCTCTTTAAACTGCATTTTAAATGCAGCTTTGTAAAAACAATGTGTATAAACAAGATTCACTAGCAGGTAGAATAATATTGATTATATTACGTGAATGTTATATTCCTCACCCTGCATAAATAATGAATAAAAGTGACATCTCTGATAAGAGAAGCTCAACTCCTGGTGATTTGTTGAATAAAATCACCCAATTTTCTTGGCAATTTTTCAGAAAAGATATGATGCAGGCACTTCCTGGAAAGGTTTTCAACTTCCTTGTCTAGGTCATGCTGAAGTATTAACTAGTTTTGATCTTGCTTAGCTTCCGAGTCAAGATAAAGTCAGTGGAATATGGGTTAATAATTGCTAAAGTGTAAATTTATTTACCCCATTTATTTACCCAAACCTGCCTAGACATTAAACTTAGGATCAGAAAAGTGGCCTTAAGATCCATCATTAGTAAAGTTCTGATGAGCAAATTTATTCCCCTCTCAAAAAATCAGAATTCTTTTTTACTCAACCTATGATTCAACAATCACAGGTGTTGAATTATTTTCCAAGGAAGATCTAACAAGCACTTTTCTGCATTTAGGGGGGGGGGGGCACCGAAAAACAAAAAGTGAGTTTTAAAGAAAACTTTCCCAGTTGTGAAACTACTGCACATAAGCAGGCTTCTGATATACCCAACCAGATATTTCTTATAACTGATGCTTGTTTTGATTGTATTCTGCAGGTATATGCTGTTGTTTTGGATACAGAGATGTGTTTTTAGAATGTGTAAAAAATTGCCTTTTATTGTTATACAGCTTCTTTATAGGTACGATGGAAAAGGGTAACTTTTGTCCCGCATCTGGCAATATACAAAGTCTTGCTTTTTGGGGGTGGGTGGGGGCGGAATCTGGAATTTAGCTCTTAGGTCAGTAGCCTAAAATAATTATTCTTTTGCAGTTGACTATGTAAGCATATTATCTGTCGCTGACCTCACCATAGGTTAACTTCCTCTGCAAATATTGGTGTACTTTGCTTTTTGACCAGGAGGTAAAATTGTAATATTGGAAAACTGCAGGAAAGGGAAGGAAACCAAGAAGGGAGCAATATGGATCTTCCCCTTGTCCTTTGGCATACAGAAAGCAATTAAATGGCCATTGGCAATGGTCGTAATTTGGACGCCTTACTCTGGAGCGTAATTCACATAATGAAGATGCCAGCCCTACTTTCGTTATTTGGGGGCAGGGGGATGCTGATGGAAGGTGGGTGGTGGTGGTGGCAGAAGAAGTCCCATGAGAAATTGTACTAGAGTACTCAGAAATTTGAAGAAGCTGCATCTATGCTGCTGTGGTTTCTTTATGCTTTGCCAGGCATTTCCTAGACTCAAAAGAGGATCCTTCTCTGCAATATGACAGTCTCCAAAGACATCTTCACTCCTTCACCACTAAAACAAAAATCGCATCCCTTTTATAGGAAAGGAAACCAATACATCTGTAAGGGCTCGCTAGCCCTGCGGACTTTACTCGGCTTGTTGTTATGGAGAGCGCCCTCTCCCTATCCCACCATAGAGAGGAGGAGGTACTCATCTCCATTTCAAGATCACGAACCAGTGCTTTACGAAGATATTTCCACAGACATGTGACCAGCATGACATCACGGAGCTCTAGTCACCTTCCCACAGAACTGGTATCTATTTATCTACTACTTGCATTTACCTGCTTTCGAACTGCTAGGTTGACGGGAGTTTCGAGTTTCATTTTATTTATATGCCGCCCTATTCCCTGAGGGACTCAGGGCGGCGCACAAACCCGAAGGAGGGGAAGGGAAAAACACAAAA